AGTGAAGAATAGTCCCCCGGCGCCCTGCCCCCCCCCCCTTTAGAGTCAGGTTTGCCAGTTTCCAGTGACAGTGTTGCCAGTCAATCTTCTGACCAGGAAGGAGAAAAAGACTTTAGAAACCTTCTGTAATTTGCTATCTTGTATTGTTTAGTTTAAGCTGGAAATTTGCCATATTTCTTTGGAATTCATCCTCATAAAGTGAAGCTCATTCCTGTGCAGTCTAAACAAGGTTATTTGTATCACTGAAGACTTTGTGGTAGGTCTGCGCAAATGGCCTATCCCTTCAGAGAATTATAAACTCATAGAAAAGTATAGCTAGAAGGGACCTGTTGAAGTTATTTAGTTTAACCCCCTGCCTGAAGCAGGATCCTCCCTCTCCAAACCATCCCAAGAAAATCATTGTCTAACCTAGTAGTAAAACTATACAATGGCAAAGCATAGGGCCGTAATCTGCCACAGGTAAAGCAGGGTGACAATAGTGGCCAATGTTCTGATGCTTCCAGGTTTGTTAAAATACCCATGACAGTTAGCATGCCCAAGATTGGGGACTGAAAAGCAACACCGGCTATGTCCTGGGAACTAGAGCCAAACATCAGCCACATTTTATTTTTTCAGCATTTGGCATGTGCAGAACAGGAGTGAGTGGGTGAAAAGTAATTTCATGGTGGTGATGGGTATTCTATAGCAGTGTCTAAGGCACTATGGACATGCCATGTGTAGTCCAAGCAACTAGAAAGAATTATATTCATACTAAAGGAAGGGGAAATTATTGTGCGCTAGCTGATCATTTTTTAAAATAGGCTCAAAGGGTATGTGCATACATTACATTTAGATTGACCTAACTAGGGTTAGTTTGATCTAAGTGTTGATCTTTTTAGATGTTCAGGGAAGTTAAATTAGGCAAAAAATGTCTGGTCTGATCTAACTTAGTTCATCTGAGGAGGTTCACTAAGTTAGATTGGGAACAACTCAGCCCAACCTAGTAAACATTGCACATGTTTGGAGCACAGCCTTGGGGCTGGGAAAGCCCAGCTACTTGCTCCAGCCCTGAGCTTGTGCTCCTCAATTCCCTCCACCCTCAGCCATATTTAGTTCCCCAAGTTGACCTTCCCACAGACAATCTTCACCCCCCACCCACAACAGACCCACCATTCCCCCTGTGGATCCTCTAGCCCCTGGGCCTTCCCCAATTTATTTACATCGGATTCCTGGTATGGCTCCCAGAACCGCTGAACATGTGCACAAGTGGGACCTGATCTATGATGAACATCTGTATGTACCCAAAAGGGAGTACATAATCTGGTGAGTACACTGTTTTTCTCTGTATGTATATTTTGAGATTTAAGGCAATGAGTTAATGAAGCATGGCATGCTAATTTGGCTAAAACATGAACTCAGCCATTTTATCATCCAAAATGCAAACCAGTCCAACATGTTCCCTGCTTTCAATGATGACTAAACCACTGGGTGAAGTTTCCAAGCTTTACTTTGCTATAGTTCAGTATGCTTTCTTGTCTGTCCTGCGAGGTGGGGAGAAGGTGTTAGACTGATTCATGGTTCATGCCCTTTTATATATAAGGTAAACACATACAATTCAAAATCTTGTATAATATACCTCAAAGATTTGTCATGCATCTTTATACTAGACAACAGAAAACATTAAAATAAACATTTATAAAAATGAGTAACAGAGTAGGTGCTTAGGGTATGTCTATGCTGTAAATGGCAAGGTGTAGAAATAAACAACCTAGCTCTGCCTGAGCTAGCTCAGGCACAAGAACCAATTTAACTGTAGAAGCACAAACTCATCAGGCATTAATTTACCCCACAGCAGCCAGGGTTCTATCTTCCCCATCTTCGTTGCTGATAAATCAATAGAAATCCAATTTGTCACATAGAATCATAGAAAAATGGGGCTGAAAGGGACCTCAGGATGATATCTATTCCTACCCCTGGCTTAAGGAAGGAACTTCCATGTTTAAACCATGCCAATCAAATATTTATCCAACCTGCTTTTAAGAACTTCTAAGGAAGAAGATTCCATAAATTTTCTAGGAAATGTATTTGACTGTTTAACCTACCACACTGTTACAAATTAGAAATTCTTTCAAATATCTACCCTAAATTTTCCTTGTTGCAATTCAAGACCATTAGGTTTTGTTCTGCCCCCTGCCTCCCACCCCAAAAGAATATGTTTAATCACCACCCTCTTTATAAATATCCATCAAGTATCTGAAGACTTTTATCAAAGCCACACCTCTCCACCCCCCACCCTCATCTTCTCTTCTACAGACTGAATATTCCAAGTTCTTCCTACCTTTTCTCATAAGCCATGTTTCCTAAAATTCTAAATAATTTTTGTTGCTCTCCACTGGAATCCTATTTTTTTACATCTTTCTGTAATGGAAATTTCCAAAACAGGAACTAGCATTCCAGGTGAGACCTCATTAGTGCTAAAGAGTGGAAGAATCACTTCCTGTAATTTGCAAGCAATAGTCCTGTTAATACAACCCAATATAATATTGGATGTTTTTCAACAAAAGCTCTTATTCAGTGATCCACTATAACCCACAGGTCCTTTTCTGCAGTACTGCAACCTAGCTGGTCTTTTCCCACCCATGATCATAGGAGGGACACATTTGAAATAGCTATGTACTCTTGGGCTGGAATCACTGTGAAACTTTTAAGTGGTCAGTTTCTCCATCTTTCTTAGATATGCAGAATGCATTTTGGAAAAAGAGGGACTTTGTCCATAGGTTCAGCTCCTGCCTCATCTCATCTGCCTGTCCCTTAAAATTCTCCCAGGAATTGCTATACTCCACACTTAACTGTGCCCTAGAACTGGTATCCTGTGTATTGTATTTGTCTGAATTAGACTGTAAACTGTTCAGGGTAAGGGACCCTGTCTTGTACATATTTGTAAAGCACCATATTCACCAGGACTGCTATATAAATAAATTCACATAATAATGATAAAAGTTTTTGTGTTATTTCCACTCTTAGTAATTGTTGAAATCAGAAAATTAAGATACAGACTGCAATGCCATACAGAGTATTTTTTCTTATCTTAACATTAATTTACTATGAGATTGAACCCATCTGTGATTGTGATCAGTGAGAGGGAAACTTTAATTAACTTTCCACAGTGAGACATTTAGCTGGACAATTTATGTGCAATTTACATGGGTCATCGGCTCAAGCAGTTTTAAATGGTTATTGTAACACCTTATAAAAAATGGTTGGCTAGCAAGTTAGGATTCAGACTAAATTGGCGACACAGTGTTCTCCTTAGTAGTTAGAACAGCTAGGCTCATGGTACTATACTCTTTCGCCATTTATTAGTCTCAGGTGCTATCTCACCTTTCTAATCAGGTCCATCTGAAGTGAATCTTTGTCTATCACCAGGAAACCAATTTGCTTTCCTTAAAGGAGGTCAATGATTCCTTAACATGGACCATTACATGCCTGGGGATCTTTTAGAAACTTTTTGCTGTGCGTAGGACATAAGACATGTTTGGGTTTATGTAGCAGCTGAGTAAGTGCTTTGAGCTCTTAAACAGTGGTTTTCAACTTGTTCAACTGTTAGCCACCAAAATTCTATTGTGAATATATCCCATAGTCCTTCTGATCTTGAATTCACCGTTTGCAAATAGTATTACATATGCTGAATATAAGACACATCATTTTCCAATTTTTTTGATGTTTAACATATCTTTAGTATTCATTCCCTGTACAATTATGGGCATGTAGAATATGTAGAATTGAAGAGTTTGTTCTATATAAGGAATTCACATTCATAAAAGGTTGACAGTAATACAATTATTTCTAAGTGATGTATTTTTTTAGTCCCTGTTCACATATTTGTACATAGAACAAGAATACTTGGCTGATTGAATCTTTAGCTCACCTGTCCCGTTGTGCCCTAATTAACATGTAGGAGACAACAGCATTTTTTCCCATGAATAATACATTTCCTCCTTTTTTGGTCTGCATCCATGCATGTCTCATTTTCGATTTTACCTGTCTTTAGAATAAATTCCTTGTAAGTTCCCTTGCAAATGAAATTACTGTCTGGAAAACTGCAATTTCATCTTGAGAGTTTTATTATGCTAATAAATGTCAGAATTCTCAAATAAAGGAATTGCTTTTTTCCAGAGCCCCACAGAAATAATGAAAAACAGCCAGCCAATTCATGGAGTACCAGCAAAGAAAAACTACACAATATATAACCAGAAAGAGCAGCAATAAAATATAGTGCAACTTAACTGAAAATAAATTTCAATAGAAACAAAAGGAGATCATAGCAGGCAGAAATTAGGAACAGAAGCTTATCTTGGTAAAGATGTACAGCTGCTGCGAATACACTGGAGGGTGGTGGGAGAAATACAACTGTGGAGACATTTTTCAAGCTAACAAATGCTTCTTTCTGCCTTCCAGAAAACAGACAGATTATGAAAAGGTAACCAATGAGTGGGAGGGATAGAAAGGAAGAACAAATATAAAAACAAAGAAAATAGAGAGAGAGACAAACGTGTTTATTCTATTGTTTTTAAAACTTTTTACTTTATTTTATGCAGCCCCTAGAGAAAAGACTGAATAATGTTGTCTTCCCAGTCTCAATGCTTAAACTGTGAGACGAGTCTAAAATACAAAATTCAGACGGAACTGGAGAAGGTGGTAGCTCTTGTAAAAATAACCACCAATTACAG